TGAAGAGCTAGTGGCTGGCTGGTTTGCTTATCTGACTATCAGGTGAGCTTTAATAAATCATAAATAATATATACCACATGTGTGTATGTGTATATGTGTATATTTGCATATATGTGTGTATATTTATGTGTATGTGTATGATTTTTTGTGTGTATATGTAGTGTATATGTAGTGTATATGTATATGTGTGTATGTGTGTATGTATGTGTGTATGTATGTATGTATGTGTCAAATGTGGTTATCTCCAGGAGGTCTGATTACTGATGATTTTCTTTTTCTGCACTTAAAAATACATTTTGTAAGTATTTTGTGATATGCATTTTGTAATCAGAAAGGTGAGCCAATTTCTCCAACAGTAGATATTCAGGACTCAAGAGGCAAGCAGATGGATCTCTGTTAGTTCAAGGCCACACTGATTTACATGAAATTGATTTAGTCCTAAAGAGAAACAGCTCACACAAAGGTGATCTCACCACTTGGGATCACTGGCCTTTCATCCCAAAATTAGGGAGATATAAAAAGGAAGAACCAAAGGGTCTCATGTGAAGATTTATTCTCCAGCCACATTGAGGAGAGGCAGCAGTCTAGGATTGCAATTTGAGGATTTATGAAGGTAGCTGGATCACCCTTTCAGTCTGAAGTAGAGTTAAGAGCTAGTGGCTGGGTGAAGAGCTAGTGGCTGGCTGGTTTGCTTATCTGACTATCAGGTGAGCTTTAATAAATCATAAATAATATATACCACATGTGTGTATGTGTATATGTGTATATTTGCATATATGTGTGTATATTTATGTGTATGTGTATGATTTTTGTGTGTATATGTAGTGTATATGTGTGTATATATGTATATGTGTGTATGTATGTGTCAAATGTGGTTATCTCCAGGAGGTCTGATTACTGATGATTTTCTTTTCCTGCACTTAAAAATACATTTTGTAAGTATTTTGTGATATGCATTTTGTAATCAGAAAGGTGAGCCAATTTCTCCAACAGTAGATATTCATGTGTCTATTATCATAATCTAACACAAAGTCTTAAAGCAGGACCTAACTATAGCTTTCCTTATTGCATCGTTGTATAAAATTCTGTAATTTCGTTTTGACTGTGAAGCTAACGGACTTGTATTATGACACAAATCTTTTCCCCTAAGACCTCATGTAGGAAAAAAACAAAGCAAGTTCATTGAGCAGGTAGGTACTTGACTAAAGCTGGGAAAGGTGTACATACCCCTCTATGTAAAGCTGTGCATCCCACTATGTCAACAGCATCTACATTTGCTTCCTTTTCAAGTAACAACGAGACGGCATCGATGTGTCCATATGCTACTGCAAGCATCAGTGGGGTTCTAGGGAGAGAAAAATAGGAAGATTAAAAAGGACTTCCAGTGAGAGCAGAGTTTTCTCTCTATTCTTAGTAAGTGCCTAATAGTCTCTGGTAATCTAATTTGCTACTCTGTGCCATGGAGAACAAGAGATCTATTTCTGTTCTAAGGGCCTCATGGAATGGCGGCATAACACACAGGCCCAGGGCGAGGCAAGGGACAGTCTCATCTCAAGTAGTCATATTAATTCTACCATTTTCAAAACTGTGTGGCAACCACTAGGTGCCAACTGATTGGGACATGTGTGCACGCAGAAGAGACCCCTGCTCCTGTCACAGCAAATCTACCTTCACAGCAACCAGTGTCAAACTTTGCTCAAGACTTACCTCCATGGAAAGAGCTTCCTCACTTTGAAAATAAGGCTGACTAGTGTAGAAGAAGAAAGACAGGGCTCTGCTCTGACTCACTCAACCCCGTCCACCTGGGGATAGAAACTACAGTCTTTCCGTCTGTACTTCCTATTTGTAGGAAGAGCCTGGGTGAAAAACAGGCCAACAGATAGAGAAACAAACTCAGGAGAGAATACAAGCTGAAGGAGAGCCTGGGTGAAAAACAGGCCAACAGATAGAGAAACAAACTCAGGAGAGGATACAAGCTGAAGGATTTATTTTTTTTTTTTTCAAAACAGAGACAAACTCTTGAGGTCTGCCCTTTTGCCATTATTAATTAAAAAGTGGGAAATGGTAGCTTTGTCAGTCAAAGATGGGAAGAAATAAGAAATATTAAAAAATCAGGAAACATGGCTACAGTCAAGGTAAAAAGATGCTGGCTGTCATTAAGATATGCACACAGCACCAGGCATGGGTGGCGCACACCTTTAATCCCAGCACTCGGGAGGCAGAGGCAGGCGGATCTCTGTGAGTTCAGAGGCCAGCCTGGTCTACAGAGTGAGTTCCAGGACAAGAAAAAAAAACCCTTTTTTAACCCCCCCCCAAAAAAAAAAAAAAAAAAAAAAAAAGGATCATCAAGATAAGCACACACCGAATACTTGACTTAAACATATGCCCTGGGGCGATCCTTCATTGTTCTAGGCTCCTTACCTATAAGTTTCACAGAGATGTACTCCTCCTATTCTAGAATTCAGCAGCCTGCCTTCTTCACTACTCCACAAACCAACCAATCAGCTCTTGTGACTGACACAACAGCCGGAGGCCAACATGAAAACACTTACTGTCCCTTGGCATCTTTCACATCAACCAGCTCCGGGTTGTCTGCTATTTCGAGTAGTAGTCTCAAACACAGCGTGTGACCATTAACAACTGAAAAACAAAATGATGGGCATTCTCTTTTTAAAAACCAGCACCCCAAAGTGAAATTCAGGTGGACTTCAAATCAGTGATTTCATACCACTGCTGACAGGTAGCCCTGGTTTCCAGTTCAAGAGAGTCCAGGTGGCCTGGCTCATGTGCAGAAGTAAAGATGCCCCTTTAGAAGAACAAAGCGCCTAAGTGAGTGTGAGGGGTGCTGGAAAGAAGCCTCACGGCATGATAAACCCCTACTCTAGAATAAGGCATTTCCTCTGGTGTAGTGAATGGACACTTTGAGAAGCCTTACAGCTACTGTGGAATTCCACTCGGGGAACAAGAAGACAAATATCCTTAGCATTCCAGACATGGCTTCCTCTCTGAACAATAAGGATACCATAAAGGACACTGGACTTCCCTTGCTCTGGACGTAGTGAGAGAAGGGCACAAATGTAGTTATGTTGGATTGATAAAGGCCCCTCTTTCCAGTCACAAAAGGATGATAATTTGATTTCCACACAGTTTTGGAACAACACATATTAGAATTAGCTCACATTCAGCAGCAGCGTTCAAATGAACAACAGGAACACTGTCCACATTTTGTAAGCCATAGCATTCAGTCTGTTCTCTCTCTCTCGTTGAAATCTGCCGGGACTTTAACATATGCCTAAAAGGAAAAGATTGGCATAGGACTGAGAGTTACATCTCCTTGGCAGTGGGTTCAGGGGGGTGGGAACAACAAGTCTTGGCTTTTCTTTCTGTATCAATTTGATATTCTTTAATGCTCAGAATCACTCCAAGGATATTTCATTTTTGGCTAAACATAAAAAAAAGAGTAACTTGGTTCTTATTGCTCACCTAGTGTGTCACATGGCCAAATCTACAGTGGAGCTTCTGTTTTTTCACCGTAGCTGTTTGTGCTTAGCTCACAGCCCTCAGGAAAATTTAAGCCCCCCTTAGAGTAACAAACCTCGGTTCTCCCTGTGTTCCCACACATTATATTCCCCCCAAATTACCTTCTAGAAAAAGACATTAGCATCTTTAGCTGTGCCCTGCCGTCTCCAGCTCTCTGTTAGACTGGCTCAGCCTCTCCCAGCTATGAATGACAGCCATTTTTCACGCTGCTCAAAGACCACAACTGTCACTGTATTTATTTTTGCTAAACCCTCCAATGTTCATTCTGGCTGCCCCTCCTCACAGTACTCCAAAGGTCTGAAACAAAGGAACTGAGGAACTCTGGCTTCCCAAGTGAACTGAAGAAGAAGAAAAAAAAAAAAAAAAAAAAAAAAAAAAAAAAAAAAAAAAAGGAGTGACGAGAGGCTTTGTCCGCGCTTCGGAGCTCCTTGCGTCTAGGTGTTCCTACGCGCTCAGCGGTCACATTCGGTCGCATTCGTTAACAGGTAAAAATGCAAATCTTCATGAAGACCCCGACCGGCAAGACCATCACCCTATAGGTGGAGCCCAGGAACACCATCGAAAATGTCAAGGCCAAGATCCAGGATAAAGAGGTCCCGACCAGCAGCGACTCATCATCTTTGTGGGCAAGCCGCCCGAAGATGGCCGCACTCTTTCCGATTACAACATCCAAAGAGTCCACTGCACCTGGTCCTCTGCCTTGGCTACTAATTCTTCAGTCTGCATTCCCAGTGGGCAATGGTGGCATTACTCTACACTACAGCCATTTGCCCCAATTTAAGTTTATAAAAATTCAAGTTTCAGTAATAGCTGAACCTGTTAAAAATGTTAGTAAAGGGTTTGTTGCATGGGAAAAAAAACACGCATTCACACACACACACACACACACACACACACACACACACACACACTCGTAATATTTTTTTGGTGGGGGATGGGTTCCAGACAGGGAAAAATATTCTAAGCTGATTCTCGAATCTCAGGTTGAAGCTTCGGCACAGCAGACATTTTGTGGGAAATAGCCAAATGAAAGCCCCATCTTTTTTATGAATGGTTCAGGAGAAAGCCAGAGTGAGTCTTCTTGACCACTAGGGGGCACCCTTGGACCACACCTACATCACGGTGGCAAATGGGTGAGGCTGGTCCTTCATTATTCACCTGTTTCAAGGGCCGTCTTCCTCAATCAAAACAGACCATTGGCAATTGTTAGGAATTACATGATAACAAAGTGCATGCTGGTCAAGGCAACAAATCTTTAAAAAGAGCAAATTTGATTTTTACAATAATACCAAGGAATGCCTAAGAAGCAAAAACACTGGTGGGAAACAAAAAAAAATTATAATTGGCTATAATAGCCATTACTGAACTTTGCCAGAGACAACTGTTTCCAGATAATTAGGTAACAGGTAGGCTTTCTGTGTCTCTGTATTGTGTCTGTTCAGTGGCTTGGGTATTAAGGGATATTGATAGACATGTATATTTTTTAAAATTTACATTTGCATTTATTTTGTTGTGTACTTGTCAAGGCATACATATAGAGATCCAAGGACTACATTGCAGGAGTCTTTTCTGCCACATGGATCCCAGTGAATTAAATACAGGCCACAGGGCTTGATAGTAAGAATCTTTGTCTACTGAGCTCTCTCACCAGCTCCGACAAAAATATACCTACCTGTCTAGTGTTTCTAGAAAACTTTCAAGGAATGAGAACCATACACAACTCCCTCACTTCCTCAATAAGACTATAGGTATTTCCCTCTTTAAAGGATGTCTCACACTGCCCTTCAAGGGCAAACACCACGGAACTGCCTGAACTAAAAGGTTCTTATGTGCTGGCTGGGCCAAAGATTCTTCCACATTGTCTTTACATCTGTGCACATCTGGAAGTGCCCGTAGAAATAAAACTTAGATGTTAAAAAAATGGGATGGAAGAAGGTGCTGCTGTCCTTTGCTAAGGTTGGGGGCGGGGAGGGGAACCTAGGGCCTGGTACGTGCTAGGCACATGCTTTCCCTCTGAGCTACAGCCCCAGCTATCATCCTTTTAAAATCTTTTTTTAATTTATTGATTTTATTTATTGGGGTAGATTGTGCCCTATGCATTTGGATGACAGAGGACAACCTGCAGAAGTTCCAAGGACTGAACTCAGGTCAATCAGGCCAGGTGGCAAGGACCTTTATCTGCTGAGACACCTCACCTGTTTCATCCTTTCATTTATACCTAGACATGAATTGCGAAACTCAGGCATAAACTGGACCTTTGAGGAGACCTACCTGAGGCATGAAGAGGAGTTCTTTTGGTGACATTGTCTTTCACAAAGATGGAGGCACCCTGGTGAACAAGTGCTTCCACACATTCTGTGTGGCCCTTGAAAGCAGCTAGATACAAAGCCGTCCGACCTTTCTCATCCCTGATGTCCAGGTCCACTAGTGACTGGAGGAGGACCTCCAAGGCTTGGTGGTGCCCATTGTAAGCCTGCAAAGAAGAAAGCCACAAAGAGTACTCTCATTTGTCTCAAATCCCATGGCATCCACCTGAGGGGCTGAGCTTCCAGAGCAGCTAATTCCCGAGCAGAGGTGCCTAATCCTATTGCAACTTGATATACCGTTTTTGGTTGATGTCCCTGGGAGGCCTGACCTTTTCTGAAGGGAAATCATGTGGGGTGGAGGGGACCTGGGGGAGAGAGGAGGTGGGAGGGACTAGGAGGAGAGGAGGGAGGGGAAACAAGCAAACAAACAAATAAAATAGGCCATCGGAACAACACTTGGGATGGAATCTGCAGCCAGCAAATTGAAGTTATACTGAAGCACTAATTCACAAGCCTCTGGTTGCATATAAATGCCTTTTTTCCCCTCCCTTGTCAACTAATTTGTTCAAAGGCACCACATCCATCAGTGCATTTTATTAGATCAACCAATATAATGAGCTAATAAAGACAAATGGCTGTGTGAATTATACGCTCATCTACCAGCAGAGTCCTAAATATATCAATGGACAGTAGGAGAACATTTTCAGGATCTTTTCTGTTAATAAAGCTGGGGGGGGGGGAATTACTGGAAACATTAAGGACTCTGTAATTCAATCCAAGCAGGCAAACCTTCCCTCACAGCATGTCACGTGACTGACTTGTGACTAACCACAAGAGCACAGGTGAGTTCCTTAATTTACTTAGAGCTTTGTTTCCTCATCTGTAAACTGAGAACAATAAAAGCTGCCTCCCAGGATTTCCACAAAGATGAAGAGATAAATTGTACCGGCTTTGCATAAAATCTGATATGCAGTGGATGCCCTGCCTTCCTCTTTATTTCTTCCATTGATCAAAAAGAAGCCACAACCTGGCAGTGGTAGGTTACTACTTTACTTTCAGCACTTGGGAGGAGT